ACACACACACACACACACACACACACATACATACGGCATGCCATTTAGGAAATTATTATTATATATATTGTCAGAACTCTGAATATATTGAATGAAACTCTGAATATATTGAATGAAAGTCTGAATATATTGAATGAAACAACTTTGATATATTTAATTAATATTAAAAAACGCTGTACAGTGTTTTATTTTTTTAAGTTTTTCAAGATTCTGTCTGTTATCTTTAAGAATACTTTAGGAAGTATATTTCTTCATATACATAGTATTATACAAATATTGTGCTAAGCGAATGTCCAAGTATAATCTAACAAAATGTCAAAATATTATTTTAATTTTAGTAATTAAAGTATACTCAAATGAAATGTAGAGCAGAAGTGTGCAAGTGCAATATCAGTATAGATAAAAGCATTTGTGTTATACTTTGAATGTACTTCAACATACAAAAATTAATGTTATTTTATTAGACTGAAAACCAAGACTGAACCAGGAGTAACAAGAAAGGCACTAGAATTTAACTGTGACCTTGTTATTGGAAACATAATTACAACTATTAATTTCAAAGGGATGTAAAGACAACATCTGCCTGCTTTCAATTAACCAACAAACACCAAACAAATCTGAGTAAATGTAACATGACTGATTTGTTTTAATAACGACATCATATATATTTTTGTGTCCAGTCCTCTCGTAGAACATGTAGTTCTCTTGGCCCTCCTTTCTCCTGCCAAGGCAGACTTCTCCAACTGCAGTGCCCTCATTGTTGCTGTGGCTCCTTCAGTTTAGTGTATAAAGTGTTGGGACCACCAGGCAGTGGGTACAGGTGGTCAGTGGACTGAGTTGGTCTCTTTCCAGTGCCTCCGTTGCTTTAGCAAAATCTATAAATATGTAAATAACAGTAAAATGGAATTGATAGTTAGCAGTTCAATATTCACTTATTGATTATGTATGAGTCTAAATCATGTAGGTGTATATATAAGAACTGGAGTGCTCAGAAACTGTGACCATGTGATCAGCTGGTGAAGCTAAAGGCTAACACACAATTGTCGAGTCTGGATTTCCCATTCCTGTACATGTTGACAACAGAGCAGAAAAAAGGGCTGATTGTGTAGAAATGATTAAAACTATTAATAATAATATTAACCCAATATTTATTAATATTTTACAGTTTATATAATCTGTCTAATGTTTTAAATAATGTCAGAAAAGCTGTTTGTGTTATGGATTTATTAACAGAAGATAAACAGGAAAACGTCTCATTTTACAACACAAGTCAGCAGATTTGATCTTATTTAGCTCAATGTGATCTGAGCAGAACATAATGTAACAGTTTAAAATTAAAATAATCTTATAAAGTCCATGTAATCACTGTTATTTATTGAACTGGTTAGCAGATATTAGCTTGTGGAGCATTTAGTGTAGATCTGCTGAATCATGCTACAATTCAACACAAACTATTAAATATTACTTTGTCCTCTGATTAATATTTAGACCAGTATTTTTAGGTTCCTGTTAGAGGAACCTGACCTGTTGAGAAGATAGTTATAGTTAATAG